CGATCACATGTACACGATTTATCCCACGATAAAAGATTAATTTCTTATTAAAATAATATTAGTTAGTTGTTGAGAATATTTTGTACAGGAAGAAGGAAACAGTTTGCCACATCTATATAAGAAGATTGTGTCAGTTGATACAATTCAGAAGTACCAATACGTTTCTTCCTGTAAATATGAATTGTAATATGTTCATGGTTTTTTGTGCAATATTATTTGCAGCAAACATTGACAGTAGTTGTGGTTATAATGGTGAGGGTCAAATAGGTTGGAAGAAAACGAATTGTAAATGTGCTCAGCAAAGTAAGTGTATTTTGTTTATTAATAAATGTAAATACAAAACGCAGTTGAAAACAGTACTAATTTTAAATGGAAGGACATCTGAGCAAACCACCTAAAATGAAGTAATGATTGACCCATCAAATCTATTGACTTATCTGTCGAATCTATCCTTTCTCACTAATCCACCTAATATAGGTACTAGACTATACACATCATCTAACGCCACTATAATTTTTTTTGCTTACTTAAAAATATCGAAATTCGAACATCGGCACTAGTGTTTGCCAGTCTGTCACTGTAACTATATGGGCATGTCGGTTCGAAAACTAACATTATCAAAGTGCTAATCAAGCTTGCAAGCTTACGTGCTATTTTACATACAGTTTATTTCAGTGCATCTATATAGTGTGAAATATGAAGGGGAAAAAACGAGAAAACACATACATATTAGATTCTTTAAACCGTAAACAGGCAAGTAACAGACTGTTTTTAGGCCGTTTTTTTTTACTTTATGCTAAAGTGATTTTAGAATGATTTCTTGAATGTTCCATGACACATAGAGTACCTCAGGGTAATCAGACACACTTTTGGAAATTTTCGTTCTGTTTTTGCCATTTCTTGGCCATTTTTGATCGGAAAAGCTTGCTATTGAACACGGCGGTAGACCGAAGGTTTTTCTACACGCTCACGTAAAAACCTTTTGAGAATCTCTGACCAGTTTAATTACCCTCTAATTACCCCCAATGGCCAGTTAATGTAGAACTTCTGTGTGAATAACAAATTGTCTGGGAACGTTCAGCAAACAGTCAGTAAACGGTGACCGTTAACTGACCGTTTTCTGACCATGGACGTTTTCAGACGATCTTTGGACCGTGAAACGGCCACACTAAAAACCGCAAGTTAACGGCTTGTTTACTGAGCGTTTTTTGGCCGTTTTTTGTGTGACCATTTACTGGAGGTTAATGAGTCGTTTTTTTGACCTGGATTGTGAGATAAAAGAACTTTGTGCACACATTTGTAATTACGCGCACACGTTTTTTGTGCCGATCTATGAAAGAAAACGCGATATTAACGAAAATGTGGTTATGGTAGCTTCTACGCTAATATAATTCTCGCTATGGTACGAAAAAGTTGCTCTCAATACAAGCCCATCTCCAAGCTTCTAATTTGCGGAACAAATCTATTCTGTAGGGCAGCCTAAGCACGTGAGATGGAATTACATTTTTTCAAATTTTGGGCTCTGTTTCTCCTCAAACACTGAACAAAAAGTGACGAAACTTTTACCAGAGATGTGCGGTAGAATGGTTTGTTTCTGTTATAAACTTAGAATGAGTCGGTTAAGTAGAACGACACCAGTGAAGAAATGGCTCCGTGACGAAATTACATCATTTTTTTTTCCTTCTTTTGCCATGGGTTTTATCGTTATATTTCTAAAAACTGCGTCTAGTAAAGTGCTTTTAAGACTTCCCCCTCCCCGGGTCAGAAACCCATCTCAGCCGAGGTAGGTCTGATCTGAACCAAAAGTTTAGAGAATGTGGACCATGTCAAAGTGTGGTAACGAAATTTGTTTTTGGCGTCACTAGCGACTGTTCCTGAGAGAGCGCCACAACAAGGGTCAAAAATATGCCTCTGCCACGCACAACAGTTCTCATTCCAGGTAAATGAGAATGCTCGGGCTGCTGTTGTTTTTTGCAGTAAACACCTATGCCTAGGAGTTGAGAGAGCCCGATTTTTGAATTTCTTATTTGCTGATTTCTGGTGCTTAACAGAAGTTTAAAGTCGGAAAAATCCTTACAAAGTTTCTTAGAAATCCGCATTCTATAAAAAACAGAAGCATAATTTAAAATCGGATTTTTTCTGTTTCAAAAACGCCATTTGGGGCTAGTGGCTGGCGGTCGGTGTTTTTCAATTTCTGTTTCGTTGACTTTTAAGACGCGCATTAAATCAAAACTCTTCGTAAAACTGTCATATTATATTAAGCAACTGTAAAATTCTCNTAAGGAAAAATGCCGTGTATGTTCAAGATCTCTACCATTCTTTCATTAAATCAAGCCAATTAAAAATTATATATGTAGAATGGAACACATCAATTTTGACTTGATGCATGGATATGTAGTAGAAAAGTAATGCGAAAGTCTCTAAACTCTCTCTTTATAGGTTTTCGTATGTGCTCTTTTCAATGGCGTGCTTTTCCAACTTTCAAGGTGTGTTTTTACAGGTTTTTGCAAAAATCCGTGCGTGGAAAATCCATGTTGGACAACTAGTGCGAATATACTTTCGAAGTTTGAAAACCACGCCATTAGTCCATTGTCACTTGCCCGATCGCGCAATATTGTCTCAACAGGCAACTTTTCCGTTCGGGTAAGGGCTGATCTCGAGAACCATGAATCGGGCGCCATTTGGGGCTAGTGGCTGGCGGTCGGTGTTTTTCAATTTCTGTTTCGTTGACTTTTAAGACGCGCATTAAATCAAAACTCTTCGTAAAACTGTCATATTATATTAAGCAACTGTAAAATTCTCAGATATGTCATAATTAGGAGGTGGACGGCTACCGTTACCTCCGTTGCTTCAGTAACGGTAATGGTTGTGCGTTACCGTTACTAGTAAAGGATAACGGTTCAAGCGTTACCGTTACCGATAACGGGTAACGGAGACTAAATAAATAAATTTCAAGTTTACGTAATGTGAATTCTGACTTGAAATATTAACTACGAGTCCGTAAAATATACTTCGATCGATGGGCTATCTTAGGGCGTAAAGAGTTTCGGGAAAAAATATATAAGGAAAAATGCCGTGTATGTTCAAGATCTCTACCATTCTTTCATTAAATCAAGCCAATTAAAAATTATATATGTAGAATGGAACACATCAATTTTGACTTGATGCATGGATATGTAGTAGAAAAGTAATGCGAAAGTCTCTAAACTCTCTCTTTATAGGTTTTCGTATGTGCTCTTTTCAATGGCGTGCTTTTCCAACTTTCAAGGTGTGTTTTTACAGGTTTTTCAAAAATCCGTGCGTTGGAAAACTGGTACGAATATACTTTCGAAGTTTGAAAACCACGCCATCAGTCCATTGTCACTTGCCCGATCGCGCAATATTGTCTCAACAGGCAACTTTTCCGTTCGGGCAAGGGCTGATCTCGAGAACCATGAATCGTCTAATGGGCTGGAAGTTTTCATTCTACTGGTCGTGCACTGATTATTCACCGTATATCGACATGCAAAAAGCTTACTGTTCCGTTAATCGAGCGTTATTGTGGACAGTTTGTAGACATTATGGGTTATCCGATAAAATAGTCCGAATGTTGAAATTACTTCATAAGAACATCAAAGCACAAGTGCGAATCAATGACAAGTTGTCTGATCCATTTGATATAGAGACAGGTGTCATGCATGGTGGTATTCCTTCTCCGGTGCTGTTTAACATCTTGTTCAATTTTATCATCCAGAGAGTTATCGAAGAAGCGAGAATAACCGGGCTGAAACTGGCCTATGGCAGCGGAGATTTCTTTCATTCGGCACAGGAATTAATGTATGCAGATGATCTTGTGGCAATGTGTGATAATGATGCTGATTTAAAATCATTTGTACGAGTATTTGAAAAAGTTACACAAGAACGTGGGTTAACAATGAGCATTAAATAGACCTGTATAATATCTCTTAAGCAACTTAAAGAAGACGCAGCACGAAAAATCATTAGAGACCAAGAAGTTGACATGAGTGATATTGACGTCGTCATTCGAAATCAAAAAATAGACATCATCGAATTCGCTGCCTATCTCGGATGTTTGTGTCTGTCTAGGGACCATTCTCAAGAAAAGGACTTAGCAACGAGGGTAACGAAGGCCTCAGCAGCTTTCAACATGCTTCGACTGAAAACAATGCCCAATGAAAAACTGTTAACACTTACAGGACAACCACGGTTGGAAAACATTATGAGAAGAAATAGGTTGAGGGGATTTGGACATGTGAACAGAATGAACAATGTGCCCGGGATAGTAAAGAAAATTATGTTTTCGTACTTTGCTTATGCAAGGAGGCCACAGAATGCTGATGTAAGAGAACAGTAGGAGGACAAGATTATAGACGATATTGAAAACCTTCAAACCAAAAATGGGAGAAGAGATAGCTTGAACCGGGATAAATGGCGTAAAATCATCAATAAAATCGTACAAGTGAAATCAGTGCACAATAATATAAAAACATTGTACAGGAATATAAAGAACGAGCTGACAAAAGAAGAGCAGAGGAGTTAGCCAGAATTCACGACAAAAATCGCAAGTACAGGTCAAATTAAAGTAACAGAAGTTGAAATTAATTTATTCTGGACGAAAAAAATGTCGTGAAAAGGGGAAAGTATATTCGTACTAGTTTTCCAACGCACGGATTTTTGAAAAACCTGTAAAAACACACCTTGAAAGTTAGATAGAAAAAGTGTTTTCACTCGTAATGGAGATGTTTATCAGCATGCAGCAGAAGGAAATCACAAAACATTTTATGTTATGAAGAATATTGATAAGCAATTAAAGTTTTAAAGGCTATTGTGACATTCAACATGATATAGTATGGATCGCAGTCTAGTTGACTATATTTTTCTTCCGGTATTTTCATCTTTCTTTTCTTCTCTTTCTTCTCCTTATACGTTTAACTTTATCTATATATTGTGCACTAGAATGAGGTACAGGCTGGACGATGAAGTAGGAGTATTGATGATTTTCCACCATGAAGTCTAAAATACGACTGGATCTGCTGGTATAAAATTTGCGTCTGATATCGCAAATAATACTGTAAGTGCCTATCTGGCTCTGAACTATCCAGGGTTCATGTGTCTGACTGAAACGTGGCTAGTCGGCAGTGTTACTGGTAGTGAGAAACTATTCCTTTCTAGTGATTTTTCTGAAATTGAGTTTTCTAGAAACCCTGGTTTCTGGAAAATCCGACGTAGGCTTCTCGAAATTTTCTTGACAATATAGATGAAAAAATTAGCACGTCGAATTTATCTCAATACATCCGATGGTCATCGATTCTTTTCTGTTCAAGATCCTTGCAACAACGCTAATACATCCAATCCATGTCAAAACGACGGTATTTGTACACCTAATTTTAGTGTAAAACCAGCAACTTACACATGTAACTGCACGAACACCGGTTATTGTGGTCAGAACTGTGAAGGTATGAAGTTATTTGTTTGCAGCACTTTGCGTTTTTTTCCTGCTTTCTGCGCATATCACTATCCGTGTTTTTGACCTTAGAATTTGAAGAAAAGGAAAGCTTCTTTTGTTTGTCAATATCGGTATTAACATTACCGTTATCTCTCGTGTTCTCTTCGACCTTTTACTGTTTCAGTAAAGAATGAGAAGTAGTAGTAAAGGAAGAGCTTCAATCAGAAAAGAAAAAATGAAAACATTCGTTTTGTATGAAATCTTCTTACATTGTGGATAAAAAAGGCCGTATAAGGACATCGCAATCATTAAAACATGTGTCCACAGTGCACGATTAAGCTACTAAAGGTGCATGTGAACTTCTTTTTTTATCCTAGACACCAGTCAGACGTCTCAGTAACTTGAAAAGCCACTTCTAAGGCGCCGCGTTTTTGGCTGTGATTACACTATCAGACACCAGAAACACATCGATTAGTCATGAGAGACTAGGTACCACTACGGCACGTAGTCGCTCCTAACGTATTAGTCAGACATTTAATCACATTCGAGTCACCAAAAATACACAAATGCATTGGTATTTGTAAAAGACGCCATCAACCACCAACTTGCCTGAGATCATCGTAGATCAATAGACCGCGCCAAAGAACCTTACACCAACACGCACTTGAATCTAAACCTGAAGTACCTGGAATGGAAACACCAATAGCCACCAACACCCAGATGCACGCATATTTGCACCGGCTGACCCTCTCAAGTGGTGTCTGCATCATGAACAGATAAAAATAATTTCATAATGATAATGAATCAAAGTACGACCTTAAACCATCCCAGTCATAGTGTTTCTAGTCTCCCAGTTCTGCTGAGATTATGTAAAAATTGAAAGAAATACACATAGTACGATGCATTAATACGAATTACCCAATGTAATAAGAATGCCGGTGGAAACGTGTATATAACATTAACCAAACTTTCTCCTAACTAACCTGAGGTCTATCATCGCGGACAGTTTCATGGTTCTACGACAACCCGTTCCAGAAAACCAAGAGTTAGACTATTATTATATTTTGCTTTTTTAGAACCTCAAGGCCTTTGTACTGGTGTACTTGGTGTTCCAGTTCTACTACAAACTTTTGGTTCAAGCGTAGCTCAATATAATAACGCAACCCCGGCCAGTTTTAATTTTACTACTACTTACAAGCAAGTAAATAAGCCTGTTACCAATGATGGCATGTTCAGCATCGTCAATCAAGTTCATGACGATTTTGGCACATGGTTCACACCATACGATCACACAACTGGTAATGGGACTGGTGATATGCTCTTGGTTAATGCTAATTTCCTTCCTGGTGAAGTTTTCAGAACTACCGTTGATAACTTATCTATTGGATTGATTTATGAGTTTTCGGCTTTTCTGGGCAATCTTAATAAAATCCAATACAACAATATACTACCTAATATCACCTTTACAATTATGACCCCTGCAAATGTTACGGTGGCTTCGGTCTCCACTGGCAGTATACCTGAGACCGCTGTTTTTGCATGGGTAAAGTACGGTATGTCGTTCAAAGCAACTACTGCGTCAGTTACATTGCTTATGACGACAGTTGCTGTTGGTGGCGATGGAGATGATTTCGTTGCTGATGATATAACGTTGGCTCCTTGCTCAGCTCAGATCTGTGGTAGTACATATTAACACGACATGAATTTCCTGACGAGGGAACCTCCCGAGGTGTCCATCTCGGATTTTTTTCATTCATATGCCAATCGATAGGTCACATAGAGATATGAAAAAGCCTCAAAGGATATCGGCGCAATTTGCTTCCTTCTAGAGTTAT